CTCGATTGGCGGTGAGGTGCTTGATGATCCTGGCAGCGACGGAGGAGTGTTTCCTCGTCTTGGATTCGTCCCTGCTGTCATCGTCTTCGAAAAATAAGAGAAGGAGGGGAGGAGAGAGAGAGAGAGAGAGAGAGAGAGAGAGAGAGAGAGAGAGGGGGGGGGGGGGAGAGGGGGGGGGGAGGGAGAGGAGTGTGTGGGAAAATGAATTGGGAAGGCGACAGGGTTTACAAACAAGGCTAGGGTTTCTTTTTTTTATTATTATGTGGGACCCACTATTCTAGAGGGAAATTTTTTGTCTAGGATGTATCCTAGACTGAAAATTTTCGTCTAGGATGCTTTTCTGTCTAGGTTGCCAATCTAGATGGAATTTTCCGTCTAGGTTGTGACAACCTAGACGGATTATCCTAAATGGACATTTTTTTCGTCTAGAATGCATCAAACTAGGCTGAAAAAATTCCATTTAGGTTAATCCATCTAGCTTACTTGGTTTTCTACTAGTGCCAAATACACGCTTGCTCATACCAACATGTCTTGGATACTTGTCAACCCACAATTTATACGGCATCATTGGGGCCATCAGTGAGCAAATCATATTCAAACATGCCATGCATGAGATTTTCCCAATATTCTGCTATGTCTTATTATGTAAGCCTTCATCTTGGAAGAAAAAGGGTGAAAAAAGGAAAAAGAAAATTTTGTAAAATGAGAATATAAAAGGTTAATAGGTCTATTATAATAAAAATGGTATTAGGGGCGGATCCGTATGGGGTCTTGAGGGGCAATTGCACCTCTATCAATTTCAAAATTACATTGTGAAACTTTTTTAAACTTCCAATATGCCCCTATATTTTAACAATATTTGCACCCTAGTAGATGATAAAGTATATTGAGTGCAATGAAAAAAAAAGCAACTTGTTAGAATATTATTAAAATACGAGGTAGTGAAACTGATATTAAAATATATAGAGTGCACTCCTATAAGGTGCTGTAGTTTACAATATATTATAATTTTATTTTTGATGAATAGATGTTTAATCAACCCGCCCCCACCCACCCAACAAAAAAAAAAAATCCGCCATGTTTTAGATGAGAAGCATATTATGGTTTGAAGTTTCTATTTGGTATGCGCTGTACCAATATCTAGTAGCTCAAATTAAATAGAACAAAGATGTGCATGTCTTTTATGTTCACTACAAGAAAAGATATGTTATTGTTTTCAAGCCTCTCCATTTATTAAGTTTTGACACCTGAAAATATGTTAATTACGCAAACACATTGTGTTTTGTATCTGTCTAGTAATTATAAAGATGTTAGGACGATGGCTATGTTACATTGAATTAAAATATAATCTGTACATCGACTCTTTAATCAAAAGTGGTCATCCTTACATTTTTATTAATTGTGTAAACATATAGTTATAGATATGTAGCTAATGGATTTAAACTTATCCAGCTAGCAAAATAATCTCTAGCAAAACTAAGAGAAAGAAAAGAAAAATCACATGATATATAAGCGCATACAAAAAATGAAGAGAAAAAGAAGAAACAAAGAGAGGCAAATTACACGTGAAAGCATCAATTTCCATTATTTGCCAAAAATAGTACACTCAACCTCACGTGTTGTGAAGAGATAACCTCTAATTTTCAGCTGTCCATTTCTGCTATCGCCTAATTGAAACAGACCCAAGAAAAGGCACACGCCAACTCCATGACAGCCCCCACAAACGCGCCAAGAAATCCATTACCACGTGATCAAAAGGCTAATTAGTACTTAAATGTCCTGTAGTTCCCCCTATTTGCACTTATGTATCCTAAAGTTTATAAAAGTTGCACTTTGAAACCTTCCTTATGTAGGCGTGACAATTTCCCTTGAATTTTCTCATAAGATACTTGTAAGTTAATTTCAGAGCATTTTGACCTTTGACGATGTTAAATTTACAGTTAAACATATCATAGTTCTACTTTAAAGCTGCCCAAATATATTATAAAATAGAACTATGGTGGTTTAATAATAAATTCAACAACAGTAAAGACTAAAGTTATAAAGTTAGTATCTGAGTTTCGGATGGAAAATTTTTAGAAAAAAATTATTACATTTACACAATACAATGCAAATTAGGAGAAACAGACGTTATCAAAAAGAACAATTTTTCACTGTAGACCCGATCTGCGTTTTTATTACCAAAACCGACCAAAAATTTTTTTAATTACCAAATTCGACCCGTTTTATGCCACGTAGGCTTAAGCTCATTTCCTAATTAGTCGGGGTTGCCAACCCCGACTGTTTAGAAGTTGTTAAACCGTAATTAGAAGCCTTAAACCTGATTTAATTGGGGTTTAACAATTCCTAAACAGTCGGGGTTGGCAACCCCGACTAATTAGGAAATGGGCTTAAGCCTACGTGGCATAAAACGGGTCGATTTTGATAATTAAAAAAATTTTCGGTCGGTTTTGGTAATAAAAACACAGATCAGGTCTACAGTAAAAAATTGTTCTTATCGAAAACCCTCGCCCTCGGATTCTGTCATGTCATCCACGAGAGCCTGCAAAGGCACAACGTTTTGGGCTTTTAACCGCTGGGCTACGCGTTGTCACACCGAACCACGTGTGAGGCGAGTGTTAGTTTTAATATTGAAGGAGACAGAAATTCTGAGGCGTGAAACACTTTCCTTAAAGAAATATTT